TTTTTTTTTAAATATTTATGTTTTAGTTGTAGTTGGACACAATACTTTTATTTTATTTATTGTGTATGGTACTGAGGATGGAACCCAGGGCCTTGTACGTGCTAGGCGAGCACTTTACCACTGAGCCACAACCCCAGCCCTGTCAGTAGTTTTAAGAAAGAAAAAACACAATTTATTTTGCTATGGCAAAATTACTGGTGAGGAGGAAAAAAAGATTTAAATTAAGGAAAGATTTGTGGTCTTCATTAAATGTCATTAACAAAATTACATATAGGATAAGAAACAAAACTGTTTTAGTATTTTACTTTTATAATAATTTTCAACAGCTAAATTTCTAAGTGATGAAGTTGTTTTTCTAATTTCTATAAGAACATCTTTTAGAGAAAACATTAAGATAATTTTAGGTAAAAAAAATCGAATGTGTTCATTTTTAACTGGTTTTATTATCAAGTGAAAATAAATTTATACACTGGCTTTAGTGAGGATATAAGAATTTCAATTCTTTGTAAAAATATTAGAAACATATTGTGTATTTTTAAAGTAAAATATGTTTAATGCAAAGAAACTATATTCTCATACACAATCATTATATACCTATAAACCAGAAATTTTTATATCCATTACATCTTACTACATACAAAAGAGCTAAAAAGGAAATGGGGTAATTAAATAAATAATTAGGTTTATTTCAATTTAAACTGAACAAACTTTTGAGAACTGCAATCTGAATATTTTAAATCTTAAAAAATAATTCTGGAAGTCTATATTGTCATAAATAATTTAGATGAAAAACAACATTATTGCTAGATAATATTACATTTAAAAAAGAGTACTAAATAAAGCTCAAGTGAAGTATTTAGAGGGTAAAAATGATTAGTTTGTATATTAAGCAGTCAAGTTTTGGTATAGTTCCTAAATGTCCATTAATGGTTAGAACTTGATGTCATAGAGGGCAATTACAGATCTTCACCCTCAGAAAAGATCCACTGGTACCACCGTTGAACTCAGCAACATTAATCAATATTTCTCATATCCTTACTGACACTGAAAACTAAAAACACTAGTTTTCTTTTTTTAAAAAGAAACCCCAGTACTGAAGGGCAGATGAAGGAGATAAAGAATAAATAAAATTTTTAAAAAATTATTTTTAAAGGAAAAGTTATTTAGGAAAACAAAATTCAAGAGAATTCAAAACAAGAGTTTATGAATTCAATGGTACAACTCACTAACTTTAAGAAACCTAAAGGCCTACTGTAAGCTTAACAGACTGAACAATCCATGTAAAAACACAGAAACTGGCTTATTAAAGCTTTAGTTTCTTCCTTTTGCGTTTTTCTACATTGACAAAATTTTTAAGTGGTGTAAAAACATTTCTATGGTTAATTTTCAAAATTATATCTAGTAAACTAACAAATACCAATAAAACAAAGAAATTTCTCAACCTCAAATTATAGTATACTTCCCTCCTTGCTCCACTCTCCAATCCCCTAGTTGGTTGGTTTGTCATATTTTCTGCTTTGCATACTGCTTTCTTCTTTGGTATGATAAATAATACTAAAACCAAGAAGAGATTTTTGCCTCTATAAAGACAATGTATAAATATATTTACTTAAAGCAATATATAAATATAAAACAAAAAAAAAATCAAGCAAATAGTTTTAAGTTCTGCAGTTATAAAAATCTACCTGCAAACTGTTCAGGAAGAATGAAGATGCCATATATTTAAGCTTTTCTCCCATTTCTAATTTCTTTCATGGACTCATCCTTTATATCTCTGACACAGAGAAGTAATATGGGAATCAATGTTACCCTCATAATTCAGGCAAAAGAAACTCCAAATACGATTTCTTCAAGTCTTTTAAACAAGGATTAACAACTTTTGAAAGTGACAACCTGCATGCCTATAAGTATAATACAAATTTTTCCACATGCACTTTTCAAAATGTCACAAATTACCTACCTAATCGTCCACATACAGAATTAGGTAAGGTAGATGCAAAGTAGTTCAAGTCAATGGAAGAAAAAGGAAGTCAGAAAAAGGAAATAACACATTGGAACATTTCTGCTCCATTACTAACAGTGAGGTTTCTTATGTTATTTTAATGGAAACTGTAAATAATAATGGAATCTTGCCCTGAATAAATAATATATTTGGTTCTACAAGTGACCAAAATGTAATTTGATGTCAGAAAGGGCTACAGAAAGGAAGAAAAACAGGGAAGAAAAGAAAGAAGAAAAAAGGAAGGAATCCAACTTTAATATATTAATGTTAATGATTGTACTTCTAATGATACTAAATTATTTCTCACCTGTGGGTTATCATACCTATGTTTTTGAATGTCCACACATTTTATAAGCGATCTAAATTATAGGCTATGAATATGTAAAGCACAGCCTAAAAATCAAATATAAATCATACAAGAAAAATAATGGGGTGGAGGAACAGGTCAGTGTTAGAACAAATGCTTATTAGCATGTACAAGGCCCTGGGAGGAAAGATGTGAGCAAAGAAGGAAAGGAAGCTGGGAGACAGGAAGTGAGGCCAGGGAGAGAGGAAAATGAGGGAAGGTGGGAGAATGCAGAAGGGAAGCAGGGAGAAAGAAGGAAAGGAGGAAGGGAAAGAAAAAACCAGCCTCACTAACAAAATGAAATACATTTATCTGTAACAGATAGTTGTTGCTAAGAAACAATTTAATACTGTATCTGCATTTTACTATTTTATAAGTTTTTATTTGCAGAATATCATTAGGAATAGGTAAATGTCAAAAGGCTGGCCAATTTAAAAAAAGAATAAAGGGAAAATTCTGATAAAAAATTATTTTTTAGATCAGTAAAACAAATTCCATGTACATATTACTTAATAATACCTAAGTACTCTTATAGGGTTTATAATTTACAAAGTTACCTTCTAATACATTAATTTGATCTTTAATCAGTCTTTACATTTAATGTGCCTATCTTTATTTTGTATTAAGTAACTGGAAATTGTGTTTTTGTTTCTAAAAGTTAAATAGGGCAATTAAAATTAAGCTTGGCATTTTATTGTCAACAATATATTACTTTATAAAATTGGCAGGTAAAGTCAGAATTAGTGACAAATTATTACATCAGTAACTCCAGTGACAAATTACTGAAAGTCTTAAAAATGTAAATACATTACAAGACAATGGTGAACATATAATTTCACATAAACAAAAAAAAAATAGCTAAAATATGATGGTACCCAGCACCCTCTTTATAACACCATTCTTTTATGGTTGAGCATTTCAAATGTTATAAAGAGGAGTTGTTTTAACTTGAGGGCAGCTATACTTAATTCTGTGGTGTTTTTAAACTATGTCTTTATAGGAGAGAGCCTTATAATGAGGGTGGAGAGTATTAAAAGCCACACTACACACACAATAGGCCATCATGCATTTTAACCCATTATTAAACTTACCCCTCTTTTGAGGCTTCTGAAAGAAGGAATTCTGGGCTTCCCTGTTTTTATTTCATTCATACAATAATGCACGGGCTCAATGGAGAATGTGAGAAACTGGGACCCATTAGGAGTACTGGATGTGAATAAACTAGTAGGGGTTAAGGGTGGGGACTGTGGCTAATATGGAAATAAAGAAAGGAATCAATAAGCCAAATGTGCATAGTTTTTTCCTAAATGAAAATTCTATATTTGGCAACATACTTTTCACAAAATATACCTTGAATAAATTTTTCTATAAAAATATTATAAGAAAGTAAATTCAGTTTTGCCCAAAATTATAATTTTTAAAAAGTCAAACTTACTTTTAAAATATACCATTTCACTTGATCATTTTTATAAGCTGACAAATTAAAAGTACACAAATTATAATGTTAGAATAATAAGACCTAGATAAAATTCTCTGCCGACTTCTATAATATTCTAGATATATAGAATATTAGCGCCACCATTTATTCCTATGCAGCTTATACTTAACCTGTATAGGGCAAAAGGCAGTATCTGTAGCTAAAGATACCATATATAATTTATAATATTAACTATTCCTGATTATTATCACAAATAAGCAAAAAGAAAATTATTATATTCACTAGCTTTCCTCTGAGACTGTTTGTATTTCTTCCTTATTTCAACCCTTTTAAATAAACTTCAATATTTCTTACATTTTAAAGCTCTTCTAGCTACTCTGATCTGACCAAAAAAAAAATGTTCTCACCTCTTAACTTCTTGACTGGATAATATTATTAAGAGCATGAATAAAGCCTGGGTTAATTATAATTGTGCTTTAAAATATACTTATAGGCATAGAGTTAAATTTTAGTTACACTTATATACCAAGATCAAAGGAGTAAGTTAAAATAATCAAGTATACTTTAATAAATACAGCACATCAGACTAAAGGCATATACCTATTCTCCTTACTGACATGACACTATTAGAATCAATACATAAATAAGAAAGACAAAGCAATTATCCATTCGATTTGCTAATCTAGGTTTACTTGCCTAAAATAAATAACATGTAAAAGGCTAGGCTTTAACATGAAGAGTAAAATTCTCTTAGCTAACTAGAGATTTTTTTTTAACTGTAATTATTCAAGAACACTGAGCTTTTCCCATTAAAAACTCACAGATGATAGAGACAATTAGTACAATCTACAAGTTCTAATTTGACACATTACTGTGGTTAATCATTCATTCCAATTGAGAACTGTGATTTTTGTGATCTTTCAGTTAGATCATATTTCCTTAGAAATTCTGATGGAAACTATACAGAAATAAAATTTCAAAAGCATTTAACTTCAGAGATATTAACAATTCTTATTCACTATTAAGTGGTGGTCAAATGTAAAATCTAGAAATAATTTTTTCAATTTCCTGTAACTGAAAGGTTAACTGAACCGTTCCAACTGAAAATATTTACCCTCCATTAATAGTAAATTATTATCCACTCAATACCTACATTGGTTTAATTGACCTACTAAAAAGATCTGATTAGCATATAGGAATTTTATGACTTTTACCTTTGGCTTCTTTCCAAAGAGCCACAATTTGCCCTTGGCCTTTCCTACTGTGGTTTTGGCATCCACTTTCCCACTCTCCTGTTTGGATGCACTGATAGTTCCATCAGAAATGGTTCTATAAATATGCTGACTGTAATCTTCAAATGGAAAGTCTCCTGGAGGTTCAAAGCCAGACTTGAAGGAGTCTACCACCATTTGAGAATCCTATCCATAAAAAAACAAACTTTTTTAACTTTTTTATTTGCTCATAATACTGTAACTTTCAAAACTTTAATCAGTACAAGGAAACAAAAAGTTTAAAAAAATAATTATATAGTAATCATCAAAGACTTAAAATTATTCGAATAAAGTCTTCCTGTGAACTGGTAGTAAATCCTAAATATATCCAAAATATACTAACCTGCAAATAAATTATCAATTTATAAAAGTCATAAAATGTTTTCACTCAGTAGCTTTCCCCCTCAAAATTCATCTGATGACTAGTGAGCTAGCTAAGACGATCTAACCAAAGGAACACAGAAAAGAGGCTATTATCAAGTAGAAATTACAAGAAGTTTCAAAGGAAATAAAACCTTTGCTTTAAGGGATGTCAACAAGAAGTTGAACTTTAGAATGAGGAAAAAGCATCTAACCATTAAAAAAAAAAGTGAGTAGAAAGACTCATTCATCTGGGCTGGGGTTGTGACTAAGTGGTAGAGCTCTTGCCTAGCATGTGTGAGGCCTTGGGTTTGATTCTCAGCACCACATATAAATAAAATAAAGGTCCACTGACAACTTAAAAAAAAAAGTTATAAAAAAGACTCATTCATCTAATGGAGGAAAGGTTAAATACATTCTGTGGGATATTAGCAGAGCAATGGGGAAAGATCTCATAATACTGAGTGCAAAAAGCAAGTATGAAAATACAAAGTTCACCTAAAACTTGAAAATTCATGTGAGTACCATATAACCCTCTAGACATACTTATCTCTATTTGAATGTTTCACTGACGTCTTACTCTCATTTTCAAAGAGAATACCTGGTTCTTCTGCTTCCTGTTTCTGTTAGCAGCATACTTTGCCAGTCATTTAAGTCATTTCCTACTTTTGTAATTAATGTTGCCCTCAATTCACTAAAGGGTAAAAATAAGCAGAGGGCAAGAACAGAAAGTACCTAACTTTGGATCCTGTAATATGAAAATACTGGAATTCCCAATTAAAGAAGTAAAAAAATCCTCCTCATTAAATGTAAGCATTCTGTTAGTTGCTAGGAAGGATTCTCACTATGCCTACTTGATAAGTTTGATAGGCTTACTGTGAACAATAAAATATGTGGTACATATCTGATTATCCCCCAAACCTAGTTCTTTTCTCTTGTTTTTTTCCTTGTACTCTGAATTTCTGCTAATCATGCTTTTTTGTTAATCAACATTTACTAAGAAATGATCAGATACTAGATTCAATTACACTACAATCAAGATATAATGCAATGAGATTTTATTTCCTCAAGGGTAGTAAATTAAGCCATTTCCTCTACTCACAATGCCCTCTTTCCTCTTTCTCATGGATCATTTTTCCTTTTTGTAGTACAAGAAATTGTACTACAAAGTACCAGGGCTTTACACATGCTAGCCAAGTGCTCTACCACTGAGCTATACCCCAAGTCCTTCTTATTTTTGAGATAGGGTCTCACTAAGTTGCCGAGGTTGGCCTTGAACTTTCAATCCTACTGCTTCAGCCTCCTGAGTAGGTGATATTATAGGCATATGCCACCACACCCAGCTTACTCATGTTTCTTGGTTGAGCTTAAGTATAAACTCTTTGTGTTAAAGCCAACTCTGGCAACTCTAAATCTAACCACTTTCTTTTCTAAAATTTCAGTAGATTAACAGTATAATACAACTGCAATACAATTCACAGCTATATTCTTGGGTCAGTACTAAAAAATTAGTGGGGAAAGGAAGAATTTTGGGGAAAAAAAAACACATCTTTTTAAGTCAGAATTTTAGCAGTTAGAATGATTCTTAGAACCCAAAGAAGCCTAACAAATTGCATAACTTTCTTCCATAGAATATAATTTATAACAAAATACCTATCAAATTACTTTACTCCTTTCCCAACCCATTTCATTAAACTACATACTTAAGCCAAATACATTTATTCAAAGACAATTATATAGCACTTACTCTTCTTTCATCAACTGATTTTGCTGCAAGAATCATTCCTTCCAAACATTTTGAAATGATAGGAATAACTTTGCGTTCTGAATCTGCGAATCCTCTGTAACACTCACTGAGTTTAATAGTCCTTCGTTCATCCATTTCTTGTAGTTGCTAATAAAAATAAATTTTTAAGGAAAACTGAATTTCTTATTTTGAAGAATTAGTGACCCCCAAAAAAATATAATTAAAAATTTCTATCCTAATATCTTTTAACAAGTTCTGTTCAGCAATACTTAGTAGAGGGGTGGGGGAGGGGAGGGAAGGAAGCAATAAACAAACAAACAAATCAAGGCTTTTAGTGAATCAAAAAATCAGGTTACAGTGGTTTTCCAGTCTTCTAAAGGTACCCTTTTCTTGCTACCTATTTCCTGTCCCATCTGTCCTTCCTTTAATTCCTTAATCAGATGAGTTGTTTTTTTTTTTTTTCCTGCTTCCATGGAAAGTTCTTCAAAGACAAAATTCTGGCAATGATTTTTTTTTTTAAGTAACTAACCTATAATATACACAAGTCTGAGACTTATAACTCCTTAAAATTAGTTCAGAATATTATAGTAATATCTGGTCAGACTAGGCATCCAACAGTTGAATGCATACCAACAGGTACTCAGTCCATATCACAGCCTATAGCTCAGAGTAACTATCAAAGAATGAGGAAAAATAAGAAGTCACATGATCAAATGCCACAGGAAATATACTGAAACACATGAAGCCCAATAATTAAAAGGTTTTTTTTTTTTTAAATACAGTCTTATTTGCCAACACTGACCTTTCTCTTTCCTAATAAGCAGCTGCACTGCTCAAGTCCTCAAACTCCATACTACTATTTCTCTCTTTAATTACTTCACAGAGCCTGGGAGTTTAAGACCAGCATTTTCACAAAAGAATTGCTCCTGGCATCACAAAGTTGCAAGATTGCATCATAGCAAGATCTAAACAAAAGGATGTCAGACTTCGAAACACAAAACGTAGTTTATCCAAGTTAAATTCTTTCCAAAAAATAAAGAGGATAAAAGCATCACAGAGTGATGACTGGTAGGCTTGGTGCTTTGGAATAAATGACCAGAATCTGATACCCAACTCTAACTATGTTTCCTGTGCAATTCCACTTTGACTTCTAGTTGGGCTGACACTCTTCCCATATAAGCTGTGCTCTCCTAGGAATTATCTCATTTGACTGTTTTACTAAATCCCTTTTCTCTAATTTCTCTTCCATCTAGAAAAGGCTAATTTAATCCTCATGAAAAGTCTAGGGTCTTTACCTGTGTAGCAACTGTTATCATTAAATAATGATGGACAGAACTGATAAACAAGCTCAAGGCCTGAATTACAATTATGATCTAACAGAGCCTGAGAGACAAATAGGCAGAAACCAGGCTAGTATTTTATAAGACTTGAATACATTTTTAGAAGATTAATTTCTACCACCTGTACTAATGCCAAAGTTTCTAGAGTGGTATCAAAAAGCTACAACATTCTAATTCTATGTGAACATATTATAATACACTTCAAAGAAATTCTTCCTGTGAAGTCAAAATATATAATAATATAGTATTAAAATTTATCTCAAAATGTCATTGTTTTGTGGACTATTTATAACACTAATAAGAAATGTATAGGAAAATTTATACTTTAAAAGTTAGGAAAAATTTACTTTTCAAATATGTAATCATAAAAAAATCTCTTGATCACCATTTTTGGTGACTAGTAAATCTACAAACATACTAATCTTAAGTTTTGGGGCTGGGGATGTAGCTCAGTGGCTTACCTAGCCTCCATAAAACCATGGATTTGATCCCCAACACTCTGAAACATGTCCAAAAAAACCTTAAGTTTTATATTTTAAGTCTAACTCTTCAAACTGAAACAGTTAACTTCAAATAGCTAAAATTTACCTTGTATATCTGAGGAATCACTACGTAGAAATGCTTGTGTTGTTCTCCATTAAAGTTTTGTAACTGTGCTGCATATTCATTTTTATTCTCATCAGCCATATGTGTACGCAGGTTCAACTGTTGTTTGGCCTAAAGGTAAATTGGTCCCAATCAATTACCACCAACAATGAAATCATACAATTCACTTTTCTGAAAAATCATACTAAAATCAGATCATATATCTGTGGAGAAGTCAACACTTGATATCAAGATAATAACAAAGTGATCTCTTTCAAATTATTGATATAATTTAAAGGACATGCTTGCAGATTTTATAGTCCGAGTGGTCTCCTAATTGCAAAATCCTCCCTCTTCCTATTGTAATAGTCCTCTTCCCTTGCAATAATCCGTTCAAATGAAGTCTCTTCTTACAAAATCCCCATAGAAAACATAAAATGACAACATTATAGCTTGAACCAATATATTTTTAATCAGAAGAGCAAGAAAACAGGTTAACTTCAAAGTATTTTGGACTATTAAAAAAGTTAAAAATGAAACAATCATTTCTTTATAATACACTTATATCCAATTAAAATATGAAACTAAAATCACAGCTGAAGTAAATAATGATTAAAATGTGTGTAGATTGTTTTTGTTTTTAAGGCAGGCCAGTTTCTCACACCTGTAATCCTAGCTACTCCGGACACTGAGGCAGGAGAATTGCAAGTTTAACCCAGTCTGGGCAACTTAGCAGGACCCCGTCTCAAAAATAAAAACTTAAAGAGACCCCAAAAAAAAACAAAAAAAGGGAAAAAAGCTAGGGATGTAACTCAGAGGTAAAGCACTTGACTAGAATGTATAAGGCCCTGCAGCCCTGCATTAATGTCTACAGGACAAATACACATAAAAGAAATACAAAAAGAGATTTCTGAATAATGTACTATTGAATAATGATTTTCATCTCTACAAAACCAAAGGTTCTTTAAATAATGCTTATGTAGGATATGATTTTGTTCTTGATTTCTTGTAAAAAGCCAAATTAATATTATCTACATTAATGAGAATATTAGAATATAAACAGGAATTGTTAATTCTAGACATATTGGGGGGTTATCTAAATTTCTCAACTGTTCTAAAATAACAGGGGAAAAAAAGTAAGAATTGAGCTTAATTTTTTCTTTTCAGTTTTCTAAGGAGTGAATCATTTTACATGGGAGGGCTCTGTAAACTGTAGAGCACACTGTAAACATACCTCACTATTCTCATTCCAGATTCTACAGAGGTAGTCTCTGACCTTCTAATATTTGTGTATAGTTAGACCTTCTTCACTCAGAAACAAACTAAGCTATGGAAATAACTTGAGATCTCAGATAAGCCCTTTATGAGTCACTTAATCCAAAATATACTTAAAAATTCCAATAAATAAGTATCATGGAGACTAAAAACTATAGCTCAAAGTGTTTCTATAAACACTTTGTTTTTTAATTCCAACATGGAACCATAAGTACACATTCATTTGCTCCTTCCCCTTTCTCTTTTTACCACAAACCATGGTGAGACAGAGGATTCCAAATTCCCTACCCACACAACCTCATAGTTCTGTCAGGGAAATTCCTCCAGTTCTAAGTCACTAGCTATTATTCCTAAGACCTGGAACTGAGGCTCCAGCAGGTATACAGGAGAACAAGGCTAGGAGCTAAAACAAATAGACTCCCCACCCCCTGCCGCCACTTTTTGAAAAAAAAAWTTTTTTGTAGTTGTAGATGAACAATACCCTTATTTTATTTGTTTTTATTTTTATGTGATGCTAAGGATCAAACCCACTGCCTCACACGTGCTAAGCAAGTGCTCTGCCACTGAGTTACAGCCCCAGCCCCCTAATTTTTTAATAATTAAAGAAACTGCAAATAAGTGAGCATAAAAAAGGAAACTGCAAACACTGAAATTCTAAATTAGAGGCCAAACTAGTAGACATGTTGTATATAAATTTCAGGATGTTTGACTAATCACTGAAATCATCACTGCAGACAAAATGAAGAAGCTAAATGAAAGTCCACACAACAAGTAACTTTAAACTTGCCCAGTACATAAAAATTCAAGCAATATTGGTAATGGGTCAATGGAGTTCTTAAGGAGTTAATGTCAAATGGCAAGAAGTCTCCCATGCATAAAAACAGTGCTTTTTCAGAGCTAGAGTTGTGGCTCAGAGGTAGAGTGCTCACCTAGCATGCGTGAGGCACTAGGTTCGATCCTCAGCACCACATAAAAGTAAAATAAAAATATTAGATCCACCTATAACTAAAAAATATTAAAAAAATAGTGCTTTTTCAATTTTTGTGGCTCATATTTTCAAGTAATGATAACATACTGATCAATTATGTGCATTACATAATTCTGGAAAGGAAATTAATATAGATGATCAAAATCAGAATATGAAAACTGTAATAGCAGGATCAAATCTAATGATTAGTAAGAAGTACATATGAATTTAAAATACTAACAGTATAAGCTGTATCTAAGAAAAAGACATTCTTATCTGCACATGTAAAAAGATGGATGGATTTCAGATAACCATAAACTCAATTGGAGTCAATCCAAACAACATGGCTGCACAAGTCCATATGCATTTATGTTATATTAACATAAATTTAATGCTCAGACAAGGGAGGTTGTCAAATGCAGGATTGATCAGATCATCCAATTTCAGAAAACTACTTTATGTGAGATATTGATAAACTGAAAGGCATCCAAAGGAAAGTAATCATAATAAAAGGTACCTCAACACAACTTCATATGTGGAACAGTTGAAGAAATGATTGTTCATCTACTATAAATATCTAAAAAGCTTTTATGAAAAAGATAGATTTGATATTTTTGTATAATATCTTAGAAACCTTAAACAGAGACATGAGTGGAGCCAGTACAAGGAAATGCTAAAGTAGAAAACCCAAGAGCAGACTTACCCGGAGACTGTACATTTCCAATGACAAGGTACTTACTATTATTAGAGGTATAAGTTATTAAAAATAAGGTGGAAAATATAGAAACATMCTGAGTTATACTAGTAAGACAATTGTAACCTGGAATTTATATGAATTTATGGGTTTTTGTTTTTGTTTTTTTAGTTGAAAAGAAAATGAAAGGTAGAAATAAATTGTTCCTCTTTTCCTTCTTCCTTTTTCTCACTCTGTTTCTTTAGGAAATCAGAAACTTCAAAGGAGAAAATATATTAAAGGTGGTCCTTCAGTATACACAACAATATGAAGTAATGGCATTCATTTATATTTCAAAAATCCTAATATTTCAGTATTATCATTGTGTCAAATGTACTAAGATAAAAAGCATATAAGAATGGGGAAGGATGAGGCTGGGATTGTGGCTCAGCGGTAGAGTGCTCGCCTAACAAGTGTGAGGCCCTGGATTTGATCCTCAGCATCACATAAAAATAAATACATAAAGGTTTTGTGTCCAACTACAACTAAAAAATAAATATAAAAAAGAGAATGGGGAAGGGAAGGCTGGGATTGTGGCTCAATGATAAGAGCACTTGCCTCGCACATGTGAGGTACTGGGTTCAATCCTCAGCACCACATAAAAATAAATCAATAAAGATACTGTGTCCATCTACAACTTAAAAAAAAAAAAAAAAAGAAAGGGGAAGGGAAAGCTTAGCAGCAGCAATTACAGGGCTAATTCTAACAACAAGTTATGCTATAAAACATCTGGCCCAGAAATCAGTAATAAGATGTTCAGTTTTCCAAAGTGAATCTACTTGGGAAAGCTACTATTATGTATTTCTGACAGTATTATCATGTTTTTTCTTCTTTTTCTTTATCATGAGTAGTTGGCAAAGAACACTACTCAACCCTTTTTACATACTCCATCAATATACCTCTTTTATCCTGCTTAAGAATAGGACAGAAACTGAAACCCAGTAGCAATGTCTTTCCTCTGCAATTTGAATGCAGCAAAGACATTTTACTAAATTAACATATTACCTTACTACCTTCTCAGACCAATATGTATGATAATATTTACTTACTTTAGTTTCATATTTAGCATCTTTCTTGAGAAATTTCTAACACAGACACAAACAGTATGACTTCTTTATACAAAAGTATTATTTTGATGTTAAAGCTAGAGTGTATTATTTCTTACCTTTTCAACATCTGCCTTGGTTGCATTAGTATCATTATCCAATCTTTCATAGCTCTGTTGTGCTTTCTCTGCCTCTCTACATTCTCTTTCAAATTTCTTTTTACTCTATTAAAAAATAAATGAAATCAAAATTAACACTAAGAATATTAGATTTATCTCATTTAAGAAATAACTTTAAAATGTTGCCACTGTGTATTGTAGAAAAGAACCGCACACTATTATAACTAACATGTGAGCCTTAAATATCAGACATTTTAATTATAGACTGTGAAGAAAAAAAATATAAGCATGATTCAGTTGGTATTTATTATATAACTCATCTCCTATCAATTAAAAAAACATGTATTTTATATATTTTTATTGTAAGCTCATCTTCAACAGATTCCTTTTTGGTTTGTTGTTTTTTTGTTTTATTGGTTCATTTTGGTGTTTGCTTTCATGGTGGGACACTAACATAACTTGAGAAATAGAAGTGTACCTCCAAAGTGGTTTTGTGTTATGTCTGGTGTCCCAGCAATACTATCATCCCAGACCCAGATCTTCTAAAATTTTTTTTTATATAATTCAAAATTACTAAAACTTTGTAAAAGCTATTCACAACTAAGCTATGGAATACACACATATATACAATTTGCTTAGTTTTCAAAGCATATAGCTTTAATTTAACCTGATGCTTCCCCCAGTTGATTTCAAGTCTCAACAGTTAATTCTAACACATTAGGATTCCTATTCATTTTATTCTCTTATTAAATATCTCCCAAAGGTTTCCAAACTGCTTGAACTGGTTGTCAGCTAGGCCTAACACATAGTTGCTTCCTTGGGATTTCCCTCCCCATATCTTGGGTATTCCCTGCACCTCTTTCTTATCCAGATCTCCTAACTTAGAGTTCCATGCTTTCTCCTTTCTAGAATCATTTCCTCATTTACTAGAGTACATTCAGCAAAAGTTTCTTGGAAATGTTTATGAGAGATAATTTTTCGAGTTTCCATAACTAAAAATGCCTTTATCATTACTTTTAAATGATAAAATAAAGCTAAACTCTTTCTTAGAAACTGTTTTCTTTCAGAAATGTAGAAGAACTACTCCACTATTTTCTGGTTTCCTGCGTGACTATCTAATCCCATTCTGGTTCCTAATTAATAATAATAATAATTTTTTTTTTTGTCTGACGAGTGGAATTTTCTTCTCCTTATGTTCTGATATTTTGTGAAGATAGGTTTTGACATTGACCCATTGTGCTGGGCAGCTAGGAAATCCTAAAAATCATGTATCTCAGATTGGGGATACAGGCTCAGTTGGTAGAGTACTTCCCTTGCATTCACAAGGCCCTGGGTTCAATCCCCAACACAAACAAATAAATAAACAAACAAACAATAGAATATTTTTTAGAAAATCATATCTATCAATTTGGAGAACATTTTCTTGACTTATTTTTGCCCATTTTCTGTGGTTTTTTTCTAGATAAATCCTCTAAATGTATTATATTTTCTTCTACATTTTAAACCTCTACCATTCTGCTTTATTTTTTGAGAGATATTTCTTCAGTCTTACCTGTAGTTCTTCCTACGGGGTTTTGCACATCTTTGCTATCATAAAGTTATTTTTTTAATTTTAATGAGTTCCTTTTTTAATAGTACTTTGTCTTTATTTCATGAATGCAATGGGGGTGCAGGGGTTAGCAGAGATTGAACTAAGGGGTATTCAGCCACTGAGCTACATCCCAGCCCTTTTTATTGTTTGAGACAGGATCTCACTAAATTGCCCAGGCTGATCTGGAACTTGGGATCCTCTTGCCTCAACCTCCTGAATTACTGTAATTACAGGCACATATAACCATGGCTGACTTCCTTATCTGTTTTAAGTATTTTAATTTTCACTTCCTTTCATAGTCACTGTTTCTTCTAAGTTCTTTTTCCTACAGAGTTTGGGTCTCTGATGTACACTTTGGCTATTTCCTTTAAATGCCTGGGGATTTTTGGCTATATGCTTCTTTTTAAAAAGCCAACTGAAAGTTCTACACAGATGGTCTTTCCCTCTACGGTAAAATAGTCAGGTAGTTTCCTTAGGAAAAACCTGATATCAGTAAGTTTTTGTTTTAGTTTTTCCCCTCTAGCTGGTTGATTCCCCAGAGAAGGCCTCTTCCAATTTCTTGCCTGAAAAATAAATGCCTTGCTTAATTGTATTCTGAGGTACTCAAAAGAAAGCAAGGAATCTCACCATTTTGTATTGACCTAATCTACTTTGTAGAACCACTTAAATGTTTTGTTTTGGAGTCTATGGATCCCAAAACATTATGAATAGTGCAAACTTGAATCCCAAACCTCATGACTACAAGATCAAAGGGTTTAAATTTCTCACAGGATACTTCCCCTCCTTTGATTTTCAGAGATAAGTTTTTTCTTAGTGGGCAGAGATCTTTTTAGACCATCTTTCACTAATCCTTTCACAAGTCCTTCAGAAGTTCAAATCCCCTCCCTGCCTTTATTTTGCAGTACTAGTGTTGAACCCAGGAGTGCTTACCACTGAGCTATATTCCCAACCTTTATTATTTTTTTGAGACAGAGTCTCACTAAGTTGCTGAGTCTGACCCCAAACTTGTGGCCCTTCTGTCTCAGCCTTTACAGGGGTGTGCCACCACACCTGGCAGAGATTCCCCTTTCTTAAAACACAATTTTTAAAAATGACTATTAGATCTAGGTATTTGTAGCTAAAAGGTTTCTGACTTGGCTCAGTTTGACATAGTTTAAAACATGACATAACCTATAATTTACATCAAATTAATGTGTTCCAAAAATTTTTACAAAATTCTTTAAATGTAAGCCTTAGTGTTTTGATTAGTATGAGACCCCCAAATGATATACCTACAATTTATCCAAAGCACATAAAAACATCTGGTTGTGCACAATAAGCAGAATGTCACTTACCTATGAAAACTGATTACATTTCCATATTTAATTCTCTGAAATTCAGTTAGGAGCTGTTTTTTCCAAATTGAGTAACTATGGCCTACTAAATTTTGGTGCAAACTGAGGTTACTGATATACAAAAGGTTTTTTTTTAAATATTAAGTGTCTTATCTGTGGAAAAATATATAATATTTCTTACAACATCAAAACATTCACTAGTACAACCATAGTATTAAAAATACCTTCCCTGAAAGGTAGTATATCATAATATAGGACAGTACTCCAGAAAAGATTGTTCATTACATTTTGTGACAGACTTAAAACAGTCACTTCTACTCCTCTACCCTGACAGAAAGTACATTCCAATACAAAGGTCAAAAATAGCTGTCCTTCTATCCCAGTCTCCCCAATGCTAGGGCATGGACATGTAAACTAATCTTGTCAAAGGCACCCAAGAGGAAGTGTGCTGGGGGTTTTCTAGAGGTTTTACTTCCCTGACAAAAAAGGGGCAGTTGGAAAAAAAAATGCTCCCTTTCTCATGTCTCTGGGTGCACATTCAAAGAGAATATGGTGTTTGGTTGCTTAAATCAACTGTTGACCATAAAGGAACAAGGCTGAAAAGCCCATGTGGTTAAGATGACACAGTGGACAGACAGGGAGGACATGCAGCCTTGGTGACAATATGAACTACTGACCAACTCTGGAACTGCTCCATAAACGTGTATTCTCTCTTATTAGAAGCCGCCTAAATGATGGACTTGGCATCTCTGAAACTTTATTTTCTTAATCTCTAACCTTATTCCTTCAAGATGTTCTCAAGGGCTACTCTCTTCTGTCCTCTCTTAAATTCCAATGCTGCCTATTTTGTTTCTTCCAGGGTGAACAATTGCTTTTTAATTTTTTCCCCTCAATTTTCAATATTGTCAGTAATTCAACCTATTTTCCCCAGTTCTTTTTGTCTCTTGATTATATCAAATAGGTTAGAAATTCTACAACTTCATTTTCTTAACTAAACAGAAAGATCCAGAAAAAGAAAACAGAACATACTATACTTGGTGCTATGTATTAAACAAATTATAATTTCTCCGTTTCCTTTACTGGACTGAAGGTTCCACAAAAATAAGAACCATGCCATAGCCACTTTTGCTCATCCAGAACCTTGTACAAGTAACGGATGTCTGATAAACACAAGGAGGGTTAAAATCACTTTTATATAGTATATTCCTAAAAAATAATAAATATAGTATATTCCTAAAAAATAATAAAATAATAATAATAATAATCAAATTAAAAGAATGCCTTGAAGATATCTCTCCTATACTTTTTATGCGTCTTTCATATTTATGACCTCTATAACCTTGTCTTAAAGGCAAGTCAGCAAATATTATCAACAATGATTTATGCTAACACAACTTTTTAAAGGATCCAATATCCATTGAGTGTAGGAGTCTATTATACATACACACACATTCATTAGGTAGCACTACACTAAGGATGCTAGTAAAAGGAGTTTAAAATTTAATAAATGAAAACACTCCCTAAAAGTCTTGCTGAAAGCAATCAGGAAGAAAATCAAAACAAAAATGAAAATAGACTATTAATATATCTAAGAATTCTCAATCAGCACTGTTGGCAGAATTTTTTTTTAATCAGTGACAGTTACATGGTAGAAATTAATGTAAGTTTTGAAAGTGCATTTTTATTTTTTTTTATTTTTATTTTTTTTAAATATTTATTTATTTTTTTAGTTCTCGGTGGACACAACATCTTTGTTTGTATGTGGTGCTGAGAATCGAACCCGGGCCGCACGCATGCCAGGCGAGCGTGCTACCGCTTGAGCCACATCCCCAGCCCGAAAGTGCATTTTTAAAAGCAAAAGAAAGGGGCTATGGCTGTAGCTCAACAGTAAAGAGCCTGCTAATAAGCATGAGGCCCTGGATTCAACCTATAGCACTACAAAAACAAACCTAAAACCATAAAAGGTAAGAAAAACAGAACATACCACAAATATACACATGAATTTTTAAAATCTTGATCTTAAAGTCCTTTTCCTAACAACCACAGACAAAACAGATTAACTTAACATGATGAACTTCCTTCGGCATAATTCTCAAAGAATATAGCATTCATCATAAAAATATGCTGGTAAAGATTAAACTGCTTGATAACTTGAAGGATCAAATAAAATATGCTATAAAACATCATTTAATACTGTATTGTAAGTCAGCTATAGTATTTCATGTAGACATCTTGTTTTTCAAATTACTGTAAATCAGAAACCTTAAGAAAAACCACATCAGTGAGTACCTTGGAAAAATTTATAAATTATTATGCTTTCATAATTTTTCCCTTAAAGTATCTTTCCCCCATAATATGATATTTACTTATCAGTAGCCCAATATTAAGAGCATTTACAGAATCACTTAACTTAAAGAAACACTCATATAATTTAGTTTACTCTCTTCATTTTTTCATATGTTAAAAATAAGTTAAGAGATTGCTGAAGGCAATCGGGAAGAAACTGTGCTAAAAAGAAAAAAAGGTGGAACCAGAGTCTTGGTTCCCTCAGTCTCAGTCAACTGGTCTTCTGAGATCTAGCACTACTTCTCTACTTCTTCTACCTTTATTAATATTTTTTAGTAAATACACAAAGTCCAGGCAAATATCCCAAAATATTTACAATGATATGAAGATTAGAGTTTATACAAAACATAGAATCACATATAGGAAAAAAAGACAAAATGATCTCACATCCTCGTTTATACTTTATTGGCTACTGTTCAACAAAATAAACATCAAATTATGAGTGATACATTGAGAAATATTAAACTCAAATAGATGTAAAAATCTAACAGACATTAGGGGTAATCTAGTCTACAAAATTTTAACAATTAAAACACTGAAACTCACATTATCCATCTGTTTCCAACACATGTCAAGGTATTGCTGAGCTTTTCGTCCTTCTTGGAGATGCTAAAGATTATAAACACACCAAAAAAACAAAGAAAACAAGCAAAAATAATTACTCTTAAATACCAAATAAATTCCATTGTGCCCAAAAGGCTTTTTAACTTTATTTCCCCCCAAGGTACTAATTACATAACTTTATCAAGACTTATGAAGAGAGTAAAGAAAAAGTCTCTAAAATGTACTTTATAGGATATTATTTCAACACTTAAATACAACCTTTAAAATATACATAATATCTAGAAAAATAATGATTGTCTTCAATAGGAGTGGACAAAGGTTTTCTATAAAAAGTCAGACAATATTTTAGGTTTCCAAGCCACATGGTATCTTCTAAAATACTTAACTCTGCCAATGTGTACAAAAGTGGCCACAGACAATTTGAATTATGAATTAGTCTATTCCAATGAAACTTTATGAATGCTAAAATTTAAATGTGATGAAGTTTTCAGATGCTACAAAATATTTATTCTAATTCTTTATTAACCATCTGAAGATACAAAAACCATTCTTAGCTTGTAGAAACTAGAAAACAAAAATAGATGGTAGGCTAATTTTTTTCCATGGACTATCATTTGCTAAATCTTAGTCTTAATTCCAAAAGGATCATAAATGAGCAAGAATAACTTGCAAAAATTTTTAGCTACAAGAAATTTAACAGAAAATCAGTTTATGCTGAAAACGGGTTTTTTGAAAAACAAAACATTTCTGTGAAAATATTTCATAAAACTATTATAATTGGATAAAAATAATTACCATCTTTCTTTCAGTTTTCAGATCGTGAGCATATCTCATTAATTCACCATAAACTCGGTGCGCCATTTCTTCTGCTACTACCTCTCGCTGTCCTGCATAGTCATTTAACTCATTAAGGATATTAAAAAAGGCTATGCACGAGGTAAACCTGGCAAAAACATATTAAAAGTGGTGAATATATTTTTACTTGCACTATAAATGTTTTTTTGTATGGTATAGATTGAGCCTAACACTTGATAAATTTTAACATATTCAACCTAAACTGAAGTTACTAGTTCTAAAATTAACTCCATATGGAATGAATCCTGCATTAAGCTCAAGTTGTACAATTTTTGTATATCTTCAAGTAGCCTTTAATTTATAAATAAAGGGATATTTGGGATCAAAAAATAATAACAATACTACCTGCAGACTCTTTTGGCATACTGGAATCTCTTTAGGTTGTCAACTGACTGGCCTGAGCTTGGGAATGAACTTGGTTGGATTCCTAGGCTTGGCAGCTGAACCTGTTGCAGAGATGATGCACTTGCTCTCGAGGACAGAACCTGCCAATCATACCACTCAAATGCATCTCGATGGCTGATCTACAGAACAACTTTGCTAGCAGCTCTGGAGACAGCTGCCTGTATGCCTGCCCACATCCTGAATGGAAGTGAAGAGCCATTTGGTTGGCATCAAAGAGGGGTAGAAGGGTCAAAAATAAGGGTAAGAATGTGTGTGGAGGGAAGGAGAGAAACAAAGAGAACCACTATTAAAAAGCATACATCTACTTTGAAGGAATATTCTCTTATTGATGAAAGATGACTACTCAGATAGGGCTCTGTTAACAGMAAATCTGAGAATCCTAATAAGTGACAACTTGACACAAAGTTGTTAAGTTCTAATCTTTTTGTTTCCACATTTTGTAGCCACATTTTTGACAAAAAGCTAAAAAAAAATTTCAGGGTTCAAAAATTACCCTTAAAATCTCATCCCTTTCCTACCTTTAAACCAACAAGCCAAATTGTATTACTACCTATAAGAGTAAAAGGAAGGATCTAAAAGCTGACAGCTACAAAATAAGGTAGGGGGAAAATAAAAATTTTTTTTAAAAACTCCTCTCTCTTCTGGAGACTATATCATTCAAGTGGAGCCCTAATTCAGTTTACCTAGAAATCTTCTTAAACTATAGTGGAAAACTGTTGATCAAGCCCACTAAAGTATTTACCCATATAGGAGAAACAGTAGTTTCCCCTTTCTTGAACACTGATTTTCTTATTAAAACAAAACCTTATTAAAAAATATTTTTAGTTGTAGATGTTCACAATACCTTTATGCTGTTTATTTAGTTGGTTGTTTTTGTTTTTTTTTTTAAATATGGTGCCAGGGAATGAACCCAGTGCCTCATGCATGTTAGGCAAGCACTATACCACTGAGCAACAACCCCAGCCCCTAACAAACTTTTAAAATAATAACAGCATTTTTAATAAATAATAAAAACAAGTTGTTTTTTATTTTTAATATGCATTAATTAACTGGTATATGATTTACCTTGGCTCTTCATCTTTGGATGACCGTTTTGGACAATACTTCTTAACCAGATTTCTATAGGGGGAAGATTTTTAAAAATTTAAAAACAATATAGTTGTTGAAATTAAAATACTTTAGAAGTCTCACAATTTCATGATACAAACCAATGAAACCAGTAATATGATCATCTACTATCAAACATAATAATGGGATCTTACTTACATTTCGTTCTTATAATACTGATAACTGTAGAAAGGAAGCTCATTTCTGTTTTATATGAGTATAAAAATAACAATTTGATTATGTTATCAAATAACAGAAAAGAAACATTATCACTCTTTTGTTTTGCAAATCAGGGATTTCAACACTAAGGTAAAAAGCAGATGTTTACTCTTAACTCCACAACTAAACTTTTATATGAAAATCATTCTGTGACCCCTTAACTGGCAAAATAATTCATTACACTGTGACTTGTAACTATCTCTTCTTGCATCTATATCTGTTCACAACATTCTCAACTAAAATGCTACCTTATTTCATCTTTATGAAATCAGAGGCAGACGAGCACATGGACGCTGGAGCCAGACAGGACTATGTGGATTTGAATCCTGGCTATTTTCCATAGTGTATATATGATCTTGGGCAATTTATTTCTCTATGCCCTAGTTTCCTATAAATGTTGTCAACAGTACCTACTCCATAGATTTATGAGAATTAAATGAGATAAGGTATTTATTACACAGTACTTTATACCATGTTTCGAAAAATGTGGTACATGAGCTATTGAGTGTACACAGATTCTTTGAAGAGTAATTTTATGCCTGTTGAATCTAATAACAATAATAATAAAAAGTTAGAGCCTATATTTTATATGTCTCTTTTTGTGTCATTTTCCTAGTATTTAATTTTTATTGTATTTTATATAAGCGTAAGAACACAAATGTATTGGGAACTAAAAAGAAATTGGTCCATTATCACCAATAACTTGAGAAGCACTGCTTTAAACCATAAGCATTTTAAAAATAAATGGCCCTAACATTTCTCAAATAAATACTAAAAGTTATCACTGTCTTAATTACTTTCAGATTTGTACCACTGCATCCCACTTATTCAATTCAGTTTATTCATTCCACAATTGGTACTATGCAATTGTGGTACATCAGAAATCAAAGTTTACCCATGTGTAAGATATTCTTTTGAAGGAAAATAGGTTTATACTAATAACAATATATAGCATGATAAGGGCAATGGTAAAGGTATAGAAAGGGTACTATGACAGAAAAGGAAGACCTACACCCAAACAGGGGTAGGTAAAAAAAAAAAACAGATAAGACACTGAGTTCAGATCATCATATATTGAGCTCCTGCCGTCAAGAAACCCACCACTTCGTTAGTTGTAAAGTAAGACACAGGATTAAATTTAAAGTTATTAGACTTATGAGTATTTTTTTCAAAAAGCTTTGTTAATATTAAAAAATTCCTCCATTAGTACACATATAACTTATAATTAACTGTATAGGTACATATTCATTTTTCACACATAAGCAATAAAAAGTTCAGCAATCACTGGCCTAGAGAAATGAAATAAATACACACACACACACACACACACACACACACACTTACTTATATAGCATTACATGGTGAGAACAATAAAGGGATGTGCAGAGGGGCTTCCCCAGAAAGAAAACTAAAATTTCTGATTCTTTGACTAAGCCTAAAGAGATGAACAAGAATTGGGGAACTGGAAAACCCTAGGGGAATTCTAAACAGAGAAAATCTAAGGAGCAGAGGCAAGGAAACAAGGGGGTGGTGCAGCAGGTGGGCATGACACTAATCACTAGGATAATGCAAATAAGAACCATAATAAGGTATCACTTCATACCCATCAGGACAACTACTATGAAAACGGAAAATTACAAATGTTGTTGGCAAGGATGTGAAAATATTGGTGTCCTTGTACACTGTTGGTGGTAATGTAAAATGGTACAGTTACTATCAAAAACTGTATAGCAATTTCTGAAACAATTAATATAGAATTACTGTATAACCCCACAGCTCTACTTCTGGGTAGATACTCCGAAAATTGCAAACAGGATTTTAAAGAGATATTCATACACCTTACTTCACAGAAAGCAATAATAACAATAACCAAAAGGTGAAACAACACAAATTTTCATCAATTGATAAACATTTATTTGGATAAATAAAATGTAATATATATAAACAATGGAATATTATTTAGCCTTTAAAAAGAAAAAATGCTACAATATGGAAAATGTTAGCATATGGTACAACATACATAATTGAGGACATTATGCTAAATAAAATAAAGCAGTTATAAAAACACAAATACTATATGGCTCCACTTCTATAAGGGACTTGGAGTAGTCAAATTGACAGAAGGTAAAATGATGTCTGTCAATCATTAAGGGAGATAGAAATGGGAATTTATTAATTAATGAGAAGAGTTTCAGTTTTGCAAGATGAGAAGAGTTAAGAAGATACATGAGGTGATGCTTGTACAACAATGTGAATGTGTTTAATATCACTGAATTATTCACTTAAAATAATTAATATAGTAAATTTTAATGTTACGTATTTTGTCACAATTTTTAAAACACACTGAAAAAAGGTCATGATCCCATAAAGTAGTATACATTAAAACAAATTCTTATGTATGTTGTTTAAAGGGACATGCTTCATTCTCAATTTTATCTCTCTCCCAGTGGTAGATACTGAACAGACAGATAATTAGAAGAAATAAAAGAACTTAAATATTCATGCATGAAAGACCTAAGGTAAGAAAATCAAATAAACTTTAATAGATGTAAAGGTACACAAATTGGGTTTTTTTTGTTTTGTTTTGTTTTAAAAAAACAAGCCAGTCCCTAGTTCTACCTTATCTTCAACATGTCCAGAGTCCAGTGTACATAAAATACATTGAATGTGGGCTATCGGTATAAGTATCAGCTCCACAGTATATAAAGAATGAAGTCAACAAACAATTCAACATTATTTAGCATATAATGGGCAAAACAGTATAGTTTTTAGGAAACTGCAGATCTTTTAGAATATTTTTCAGGTGTTAAAGATAGGAAAGAAAGAAAAAATACCTGTTCAATTTAAACTAAGAAAGGAGATTGCCACCATAGATTTAAGTATTATAGTTTTCAATCTCAGTGGCTTACAAGGCTGAGACAGGAGGATCACAAGTTCAGGCCAGCCTCAGCAATTTAATGAGGCCCTAAGCCAACTTAGTGAGACCCTGTCTCAAAATAAAAAAAAAAAAAAGGGCTGAGGATATGGCTCAGTGATTAAGCATCCTTGGATTTAATCCCTGGACAAAACAAACAAAGTATTATGCTTTTCAGAGAAACTTTGTTCAGCAACTTAATAACTTATTTTACTTATGTTAGAGTCATAAGAGAACTACATAATACCTTCATACCCCAATATTCAAAAATATTTGCATAAAACAAATTTAATAAGCAGCTAAATCTGTCTGATTTGCCTATTAATACACATGGGGACACTAAAACATATATTTTACCTGATTTTGGCCTTTAAATCCTCTTTACTGAAATGTTCATTATCACAATATTCAAACAACAGGCTTGAATTTCTTTTTCTTTTCTCCCACACTCCACCCCTCTGCAGTGGAGTCTAAACCCAGTTGGCCTCTACCACAGAGCCACACCTCCAGCCCTTTTTATTTTGAGACAGAGTCTGATAAATTGCTTTAGCATTTATAGCACTTTAGCTGAAGGACTTGGAATTCTTCAGCCCCAGCATTCTGAGTCTTTTGGATTATAGGCCTACACCACCATGCCCAGCTTCTTCACTTCTTCCTTCCTTTTTTTCCCTCTAGGATCTCATGCATGCTAAGCAAGTAGCTCTAACACCAAGCTACTTCCCCAGCCCTTTTTAAAATTTTTATTCTGAGACAAGATTTCACTAAGTTGCCCAGGCTGGCCTCGAACTTGCAATATTCCTGCCTCAGCCTTCAAACAGCTTGGATTATAGATGTGTGTGATTATTTTCTTTATTATGAGCTTTCTGTTTTACATGTTAGATTCTGCTTAGATCATTTAATCTTAAAAATACCATTTTAAAATATCAGAAATACGTGCAGCAATTTTTGTCAAGATAGATGAGCCTGAGTTTCTTTATCATTAAAATGGTAAAGTTCATGAATCATTCCACAAAAGTGTACCAATGAATGCCTATGATAAGGCATGGACTCTTCATTTGTTAGAAATACAATGATGACAAAAATCATCAAATGCTTGTGAAGATTAGATAAGAGACCAGTTTATGTAAAACAAAAGTGACACTCCACCTAACTTGCAAATTTAAGTTAGTAGTCTCGTGGATAATTAAGATAGGGAAGAAGAGAGCCATCTTTTTAGGTATAACAAAAAAATGAGATTAATTGGAGCTTCAAGACACACAAAAAAGTATAATAGGAACAGAAATCAATGATCAAAAAACAAAATAAGTTTAAAAAAGTCAACAGCTAAAACATACCAATGATAACTATATGAAGTCCACTTCAAATATACCTAGAAAAAGTAGTTATCTACTAAATCATCAAGAGAAAAATAGTAACAGAGTTAAGGAGAATATTAAAGGCAAAAATTAGAAGGAACTAAAGTAACATTATGCTATCTCTAACTCTACTAACAGGTTTTAAAAATAATAAAAGTAAAAAGTATTTATATTAACTCATCATAATTAAAAAAATAATTTCTAAATAAAGTCTAAAAATCCTAAGTATGTATAATCTTTCCCTTAAGAAGGAAATGAAAATAAGTAGGGCTTCTTGAAAGTGCTGTTTGTTTAAATAAACTTTACTAATGAGAAAAGCATTTTCTTGAAAGAAAGGACTTCTAAATTATTAATGCTTTTTTACATATCCTTATGGGAAAATACACAGACCTAAATTTGTAAAGGATATAGTTCAATTTATACAGTTACAAGTGTTACGTTATAAACAGATGTGTTGGAAAGAATATGTTATGTAGATTTTAGATAATTATTGTCTGTAACATAACTCTTCAAATATCTAGATATACTAGACATTGGTGTTATAAAATAATTCTCAACACAGATCTATTAATTTTCTCTATGGTGAGACAATAAATGCAATATTAAGAGCTGAGATGCAGCAGCCACATTTGAATCTAGCTAGTTCTTTGTTAACCTCTTTGTACACCTCAGTTTCCTAATCTATAAAAACAGTACTGAAACCTCATTGGGTTTTTAGGAAAATGAAATGTGTTAACAGGTGTAAGTAAGGTAAATGCTCAGAATAGTGCTGATACACTAAGTACTAGATTGTGAATACCAGAAAAATGCCTGCCCTGTGCCAATCACTGAAATAAGGAGAGAACAGAACCAACAAAATCCCTTCACCTTGTAACATTTTTATTTTAGTGGAGAGATTATATTCTGGAGTTAAGAAGTAAAATTTATGTAGGTAGCAAATCACCTAATCCAGATATGTACTTAGGAAGAAGGAGTAATATGACTAGTGGAAACTGAATGAAAAAGTTTCCATAGGATCCAATTCTATAAAGAAAGGTATTCTAAACCCCAAAATTGGACTGGGTATATAGATTAGTGGTGGAGTGTTTCCCTACCATGTACAAGGGCCTGAGTTCCATTCTTGGCACTGCAAAAACAATAGCAATGATAATATTAATGACTAATTTCTGTTGTTCATATATCTTTGTAAACCAAAAAAAAAAAAATACTACATGACTTGAAGTCATCATTTAGCATCAATCAAAATGGACATGATCAATTGTCTGTCTCCAAATGTAGTTATGTACTTTATTTACTCTCATCCTCAAACCAATTCCAAAAGTCAATCAGTATCAAAAAAGTTAAACCAAAGCCATCAAAATACAAGAACACAAGAATAAAGAAGAAAACAATCTCAGGAGCACCAAAAACTAACTGAAAATATTAAGTCTTGCAATATATTTAAAATGTAACCCTTAACATCCTAAATATAATTATTACATAGCAAAAAAAAATAATTGCCTAACTAAGCAGCACTTTTTTTCCTAATATATATGAAATTAACCTCTGTGTAGCAAAAATAAAGGGAGTTAACCAAAAGAATTTTTCCTATTAAAGAGGAGGAAATAAACAAGGCAAACCTCTTTCCTTGGGACAAAACATACTATAAACAGCAGCTGATAATTCAATCATTTACAAGGTATCCATCAAAAGCAACAAATTTCAATGTTGGGGGAAGGGAATGAGCAGATAGGAGCTGAAAGCTCCTAACTTTTCCTTACTCAAGTACCTCAACATTGTCCAAGAATCATGGCCTTTTGAGAATCACTATTATTGAAAGTCACTGTGCTGCATTCCTTAAAAGATGCAAATCACTAATCTATAGCATCTGTACATAACAATAAATTCACTTTCTTATTGAAAAATTATATTTTTTATAACATAACTCAGTTCTTGCCACTTCAATTAAGTAGTGATCAAATCCTGCTTTTTGCAGTAAGTGAAGATGATAATGGTTCTTTTCAGTCTCAAAACAAATAGAGGTAAACAAATCTGTCATTTGATTTTATGAATCCTCTTACTCTAGCAAAACAATGGCCATCAAGTAACCTTTGAGGTCCTAATTATCCTAAACAATATTACTTATTCCACAGTGAAGTTTTATACATTATCAATTTGCATTGGTATCATTCTTCTCTAGAATGTAGGAGCTGAAGGTAAAACATCTGAAGTTAAGGGAGTAGAAAGAATGGTACAAAATAGACCCTGAGACTAAAGGAAACAAGAGCCAAAAGATGGAGATAAATTTTTTCCCTGAATCAAATGTTACTGGACTCTTTAGTCAAGTGTGCCTGTTTAGGTTAGAATTTTTTTTCACTGATAATTTGTAGAGTTCTAACCGCTATAGTTAAATCCTATAGTCTAGCCTCAGACTTTAAGCAATATTGTTATTTATTAAGTTCTAGCAAAGCTGTTAAATTGTGATCTAACACTAATGGTTTTACTGTTTGAGCAAAATTTTAAGATAAATTGCATTTAAGACTAAAATTTTAATTAAACTTTGTCTTGTAACACACATTTCTTTTCTTTTTCTTTTTTTTTTTTTTTTGGTTGTTCAAAACATTACAAAGCTCTTGACATATCATATTTTATACATTAGATTCAAGTATTTCAAAATCACTTTTCCTCAGTAAAATATACCCGAAAAGAGAAACTCAGCTCACCATATACTCAATTTCCAAGTCTCAAAAATTCTGAAGAAATGTCCAGTGCTTTAGATACATTATAAAAGCAAAAAGTTACAGAGGAATAAAAATGCAAAACACAGAATAAAATCCAGGACACTCCCCCCACCCCCTGCTGGTATTCAGTCCCTGATTTTAGAATTTTAAATATCTTTTTGCAATGAAAATATTCACAATTGAGCCAGCCAATATTCCTTGAGCAATGATTTGATTAAATCAAAATTGAAACAAACCAATTATCTAATTCAATCTAATTCTGATAAAAAATATTGAATTTAAGCTATGGAACACCATATTTACATAGTATTAATCTACTTAACACACAATTTCATTTCTAAGAACTGAAAAATAAATTAACTTACCTCAATTGTTTTGCATAGTTCTGTTCAATTTCTATCCTCTCTTTAACAAATTTGGCATATCTTTCCAAGAAGTCAATTCCCCATTGTGTATGCTTGTCTAAGCTGTCGAACTGATCCTACAGAAGGAAAATGAAAATGCACTGACAAAGTCTGAATTTAATGCACAAATATTTTAACCAGCTTCTGATATTTGTACAGACAAACAATGAGGTATAAAAGGAAAAACATTACCCTTTAAGCCTACAAATAGGGGCTGGGGTTGTGGTTCAGAGGAAAGAGCACTCACCTAGCATGCCTGAGGCACTGGGTTCAATCCTCAGCACCACATAAAAATAAAATAAAGGTATTGTGTACACCTACAACTTAAAAAAAAATGTTAAAAAAAAGACCTACAAATAGGTTTCTAAGCAAAAGGTCATGCTACTTTATTCCAAAATGCTTTTTTACCAACACAGTTCACCCCAGTTTCAATACTCTACCCTAATCATCTTTTTTGCAATTAATTTTTATTTCCTTTGAGATCCAACTCAGGCATTACACCCCTCCAGAAAACAGTCCTAAACTCTCTTGACTGGGATAAATGGTTTCTCTAGGTCCCCAAGATCCCAAAAATTACTATCTGATGTTCTTGCTATGCCATATTGAGGGCAGGAATCACTTATTATTCAACTCGGAATTCTCAAGGCCTAAACACCATGCTCAGCACCACTTAGGCACTCAATGAAGAACTGTTGAGCTGAATAAAATCATATATACCTGGGTTCAAATTTTAAGATTAGCCATTCACAGGATGTTTCAGGTTGGGCAAGTTTTTCAAGGGTCTTTGAACTTTTTTGCATCTTAAAGTATACATCCATCACTCAATTCATAGGACTGTGGCAATGTCAAGTGTTCTAAACTGCAGTAAACTTGACACTAACATATTGTACAGTATCATTGTCCTATAAGACTCTTTCAATCCTCAAACATATTTTCTTTCATCTGCAGCCAGAGACACAAACAATTCCCTTCCTTTAAGGATAATCTCCAAATTAACTGATAACTTGGAGAACTCTCTTACATACACATACCAAAAGTCTACAATATATTTCAATATTATCTCTTGATATTTCCAAGATGTCAAAAATTGCCTGGTGTTTAACCATGTTTGCTACTTACAAATTCATCATCTCCTTTCCATTTTATCTTTTTCCATACTATATCATTTTAAATTCTACTAAAAGTGGAGTCTATCTAAACAGCAGAGATATAATTCATCAACTGATCATAGTTTATTATTATTACTCTATTCTTCCAAGCCACTTTCTGATTATCATTTGGCTTCTAAATCAGATTTGAATACAGCAAGAAAATGAACTGCTGCGTAAATTCTGTCTGCATGATATGTTCCATCATAAATTGGAATTCTCTTTCAAACTGAAAAATTCTCAACAAAATTCCAAAGAGAATCCTCTGAAATGTAAACAATCTTTGCTCATTTTTCCAAATTGCTTCAAAGGCTCCTCTTCCCATTAGTTTTATCATCAAATTCTAGGCGACACTTCTTCATCTTTTAGAAAAAAAACTTCAAATTTTTTATTACAAGCCCCATGTTAAAAAACAAACTAAATAAATGCCTCAATTATATGTATGATTATTTATAAGTTAATTGATATACTATTTTTTATAATTTTGAAATCTATATTTTTTCTAGCACTTATTATTTTTTGTAATTTTTAATAATTGTTTTTTAGTTATAGATGGACACAATATCTTTATTTTATTTTTATGTGATGCCTCATGCATGCTAGGTGAGCATTCTACCTCTGAGCCACAACTCCAGCCCCTATTGTTTGTAATCTTGAGGGCTGCCATTCTAACTGGTGTGAGATGAATATCTCGGTGTACTTTGAATTTGTATTTATCCAATTGCTAACAATGTTGAACAATTTTTTCATATATTTCTCAGCCATCTGTAGTTCTTCATTTGCCCATTTATTATTTGGGTTATTTGTTTTTATTGGTGTTAAGTTTTTTGAGTACTTTATATATTCTAGATACATAACTTCTCTTTTTTGGGGGAGTGGTACTAGGGATTGAACCCTGGGGCACTTAACTCCTCTTTTGTTTTGTTTAAATTTAGAGAAAAGGTCTTGCTAAATTGCCCATGCTAGCTTTGAACTCACAATCCTCCTGCCTTAGCCTCTTGTGCCACTAGGATTACAGGCGTGTCACTGCTCGTGGCCCTAAAACTTCTGTCAGAAGAGTAGCAAGCAAACATTTTCTTATAGGATCTCTATTTACATTATTAATTGCTTCCTTTGCCGTGCAGAGGGCTTTTTAATTTGCTATCTCTCGTATAGACCCTTGGCATTATTTCCTGAGCTTTAGGGGTCCAACAGAGAAAGTTGTTGCCTGCACCTATATGTTGGAGTGTTGACCCTATTGTTTTCTTCTAGAGTTGCATAGTTTCTGGTCTAAACCGTAGGTCTTTAATCCATTTTGAGTTGACTTTCATACACAGTAGGAGACAAGATCCCTCACTTTACATATGAATAATCAATCTTCCCAGCACCATTTTAATAAAAGGCTATCTTTTCTCTAGTATGTTTTTGGCATCTTCATCAAGGATCAGATGACTATACCTGGGTGTGTTTGTATCTGTCTTCTATTCTGTTTCACTGGTCTATGTCTACTTTTATGCCAATACCATGCAGTTTTAATTACTATAGTTCTATAATATAATTTGAAGTCAATTACTGTGATGGCTCTAGGACTGCTTTTTTGGCTTAGAATTGCTTTGGCTATTCTGGGTCTTTTATTCTTCTAAATAAATTTTATGACTTTTTTTTCCAATTCTGAAAAGAATGTTATTGGTATTTTGATAGGGGTTGCATTGGATCTGTACAATGCTTTGGGTAGTATGGTATTTAAACAATACTAACCCTGTCCAACTGTGATCATGGGTGGGTCTTTCTATTTCTTGTCTCCAATTTCTTTCTTCAATGTTCTATAGTTTTCATTGTACAGATCTTTCATCTCCTTGGTTAGATTTATTCCAAGGATTTTTCTGTGAATGAGACTTTTCTTTCTTAGGAGATTCATTATTTGTATATAAGAAAGCTATTGATTTTTTTGTACTGGGGATTGAACTCAGGGACACTTGGCCGCTGAGCCATATCCCCAGCCCTGTTTTGTATTTTTATTTAGAGACAGGGTCTCACTGAGTTCCTTAGTGCCACACATTTGCTGAAGTTGGCTTTGAACTTATGATCCTCCTGCCTCAGCCTCCCCGGCCACAGGGATTGCAGTCTTGTGCCACTGTGCCCAGTTAGAAAGCTATTGACTTCTGTATGCTGATTTTGTAACCTACTACTCTGCTGAATTTATTACAACCAGCAGTAAATTTTAAGTAGGGGATCATACGGTATCACTGCAAACAGTGATAATTTGGTTTCTTCCTTTCCTATTAATTGCTCTAACTGGAATATCTAGTACTATCTTATATAGGAATGGTAAGAGTAGACATCATTGTCTTTTTCCAAATTTTAAAGAAAATGCTTCCAGTTTTTCTCCATTCCCTATGATGTTGGCTTTGGGTTTACAATACATGGCCTTTATGATGTTCAAGTAATTTCCTTTGATCACTATTTTTCATTATTTTTATCATAAATGGGCACTAAATTTTGTTGAAGGCTTTCTCTGCATCTATTTTGATGACCAAGTGATTTTTGTCATTATCCTATTTATATAATGAATTATATGTATTGATTTGCATATGTTAAACCACCCTTACATCCCTGGGATAAAACACACTTGGTCATGCTGTATAATCTTCTTAATATACTGTTGAATATGATTTGCTAATATTTTATTAAGGATTTTTGCATCCACATTCATGGATGTTGGTCTGTAATATTCTGTCATGTGTCTCTATCTGGTTTTGCTATGAGGGTGATACTGGCTTCAAAGAATGAATTTGGAAGTGATCATCCCTTTCTATTTCATGGAATAACTTAAAGGTCTGGCAGAATTCAGCTGAGAATCCACCTGGTCCTCGCTTTCTTTGTTGGAAAGCTTTTTATTATTGCTTCTATCTCATTGAGAATTATTAGTCTAAGTTTGCTATATCTTCTTGATTCAACTTTGGCAATTCATAGATATTTAGAAATGTGTCTAYCTCACAGAACTTTTCAATTTATTGGTGTATAAATTTTCAAAATAATCTCTTATGATGTTCTGGGTTTCTGTGGTGTCTGTGGTGATTTCTCTTTTTTCATCTCTATTTTTATTTATTTGAGTTTCTCTCTTCTACTTGATTAGTTAGGCTAAGGGCTTATAGATTTTGTTTAATCTTTAAAGAACCAATTTCATTGAGCATGTGTACTTTTTTTTTTAATTCTCAAATTTCATTGATTTGGGCTCTGAACTCGTTTCCTTCCTTTTATGGGTTTCGGAAGTAGTTTGTTCTTGTTTTTCAAGGGTCTCAAGATGCATTATTGGACTGTTTACTTGAGATAGCTTTCTGATTTTCCTATGTAGGCATTCATAGCTATAAACATTCTTCTTAGAACCTGCCTTTATGGTGTCACAGAGGTTCTGGTATGTTCTATAACTTCAAAAAATTCTTAAAATTTCTCCCCTAATTTCATCTATCATCCAAACATCATTCAAAAGTGTACTGTGCCGGGTGCAACTACATACATCTGTAATCCCTGTGGCTTAGGAGGCTGAGACAGAAGGATCACAAGTTCAAGGCCAGCCTCAGCAAATCCATGACCCCCTAAGCAACTTAATGAGACCATGTCTCAAAATGTGGTTTAAAAAAAAAGAAAAAAGAGAAATGGAGCTAGGCTTCTTCACAACAAAGGAACCAATCAAGAACATGAAGAGAGAGCCTATAGAATGGGAGAATATCTTTGCCACCTGCACCTCAGAGCATTAATCAACACAGCTCATACTTCCACACTCAGTTCATACCTCAAGAAGAAAGGAAAAGATAATCAGTTGGGCACACAGAGCAAACACATAAGCTCACTGACTATTATGTCTACCATAGTGGGAGAGACTCCTTAATTTATTAACTTTTCACCAAGACCCCCTCCTCCTTTTCTTTCTGTTCTTGTTGTTT